GCAATAAATGAAGTCATAAAGCTTACAAAGATACAAGATTCTTTCTTCAAAAGCTTCCAAAACTCATGAGAAACAACGACTATTGTTTATTAGGTCATTACTAAAGGGACCAAAAAATTATAGGCGATTCGCAGCTCGTTGCCTAAATTCATGAAGATTGTGTGTACATTAGCACACGAAAAATTAGAAATCGTTATGCATTCCTGTTTTATGGCCCTAAAATATCAAAAAAGAGAGGAACGGTCATTCCGAAGCGATGACTATTATTCATTATGTCGTTTCTGATGGAACAACATAATTTTAGGGGATTCAGAACCCATTACTCGAATTCATGAAGATGGCGTGACGTTGGCACACAAAACATTTGAAATCGTCGTGAATTCTTGTTTATAGAGAATCAATGCCTATTGTTTATTAGGCCATTTCTGATGGTCCCACAAAATTTTAGGCAATTCGGAGCCCGTCGTCCGAATTCATGAAGCTGATATGGACACTAGCACACAAAAAATTGAAAACCATTGTGAATTCCTATTTTACGGCCGTAAAATATAAAAAATGAGGAACAGTCATGGCGAAGCTATGACTAGGGTTAATTAGGTCATTTCTGATGGGACCACAAAATTTTAGGCGATTCGGAGCTCGTCGCCTGGATTCAAGAAAATGGCACATACATTAGCATACAAAAATTTAGAAATCGCCGTGAATTATATTTTATGGCCCTAAAATGCCAAAAATTAAGGAACAGTCATGGCGAAGCGATGACTGTAGTTCATTAGGTTGGTTTTGATGGTCCCACGAATTTTAGTCGATTTGGAACCCGTCGCCTAAATTCATGAAGATCGCGTGGACATAAGCACATAAAAAATTGAAAATCATCATGAATTCTTGTTTTATGGACCTAAAACGTCAAAAATGATAAGTGATTATGGAGAACCGATGACTATTGTTCATTAGGTCATTTCTTATAGGGCCACAAAAATTTAGGCAATTCGGAACCCGTCACCCAAATTTATGAAAATGGCGTGTACATTAGCATACGAAAAATTGAAAATCATCGTGAATTACTGTTTTATGACCCTAAAATACCCAAAAAATGAGAAGCAGACATGGCAAAACTATGACTATTGTTCATTAGGCCGTTTCTTATAGGCCCACAAAACTTTAGGCGATCCGGAGCCCGTCACCCGAATTTATGAAGATTGCATGAATATTAGCACACGAAAATTTAAAAATCGTAATGAATTCCTTTTTTATAGCCCTAAAACGCCAAAAAAGGGAAACAATAATGGAAAAGCCATGACTATTGTTCATTAGGTCGTTTCTGATGAGCCCCAATTTGGAGACCATTGCCCAAATACATGAAGATGGCGTGAACATTAGCACACGAAAAATTAGAAATCGTCCTAAATTCCTATTTTATGGCCCTAAAACTCCAAAAACGAGGAACAGACATAGCAAAGCAATGATTCTTGTTCATTAGGTCATTTCTGATGAGCCCACAAAATTCTAGGCAATTCGGAGCATGTCGCCCGAATTTATGAAGATGACGTGGACATTAGCACACGAAAAATTAAAAATTATCCTGAAGTAGGAATTTTAGGCGATTTCAACATTTACATGTGCTTATGTCCATGCGATCTTTATGAATTTGGTAGACGGGCTTCAAATCGCATAAAATTTTCTGGACCCATAAAAAACAACCAAATAACCAATAGTTATTGCTTTACCATGATTGTTCCTCGTTTTTTGGCATTTCAGGATCGTAAAACAGGAGTTTAAGGCGAATTTAACCTTTTCGTGTGCTTGTGTCCATGTGATCTTCAAGAATTTTGGCGACGGACTCCGAATCGCCTAAAATTTTATGGGCCCATCAAAATGACCTACTGAACAATAGTCATCCCTTCGCCATGATTGTTTCTCGATTTTTGGTATTTTGGGGCAGTAAAATAGGAATTTAAGGCGATTTCAGCCTTTTCGTGTGCTTATGTTCATGCGATCTTTATGAATTTGGGCGACGTGCTTCAAATCGCATAAAATTTTGCGAGTCCATCAGAAACGGCCAAATGACCAATAGTTATTGACTAGTCATGATTGTTCCTAGTTTTTTGACGTTTTGGGATCATAACATAGAAATTTAAGGCGATTTCTTGGAGGTATGGTGCACAAATAATTTTTGAACTCTGGTTGATTTGAAATTTGATGGGTCAAATGGAAATAACCTTGTTTGAAATGTTCGCCATGGCTATTATCATTTTTTGATGTTTTGGGGTCATAAAATAGGAATTAATCATTATCTCTCTTTTTTTGTGTATTTATATACATGATGATTTTCCTGAATTTGGCTTATGGACTCCGATTGGCTAAAATTTGGTGAATCCATCGGATACGGTCTTGTGAGCAATACTCTCCATGACTAATATTATTTTTTGGCATTTCGGAGTCATAAGAATACTATGCACGGTCACATGAAACCTACTCATGTTATGCATGGGTACTTGGATCCTACCGGTGCTTAAAGAGTTTACGGTCTCTGATTGACCTGAATTTGGTGGGTCCATCCGAAACTGCCTTTGAGAATACTCGCCATGATTAACATCATCTTTTGGCGTTTTGAAGGTCATAAAACAAGAATTAATGATTATGTCTATTGTTTCGTGTGTTTATATATATGATGATTTTTCTGAATTTGGTTGATGGACTCTGTTTGGCCTAAACTTTTATGAATTCATCGGATACGGCCTTATGAACAATATTCACCATGACTAACTTTATTTTGTTGGTGTTTCAGGGTCATAAAAATACTATGCATTGTCATATGGAACATACACGTGTTATGCACGGCCACTTGAATTCTACCGGTGCTCAAAATATTTATGGACTCCAATTGACCTAAAACTTAATGGGTCCAATGAAAATGGCCTTATGAGAAATACTCGCCATGACTATCATTATTCTTTGGCGTTTCGGAATCATAATATAGGAATTAATGATTATATCATGATGATTTTTCTGAATTTGATTGATGGACTCTAATTGGTCCTATCGGATACAACTTGTGAGCAATACTCACCATGATTATCTTTGTTTTTAGCGTTTCAGGGTCATAAGAATACTTAACATGGCTACATGGAACCTACTCGTGCTATGCATGGCCACTTGGATCGAAATTTTTTATTTTGTGTCTTACACAACTGACACTAGTTGTGTGAGGCCTCCTTTTTGTCTCACAACTTTGTGCTCCCAGAATTTTGTGGACTCAAATGTGTAAGATATGAGTCCACAAATGCGTGAGATAAAAAGAGGTCTCACACAACTAATGTCAGTTGTGTGAGGCACACCATAAAATCATTCACTTGGATCCTACCGGAGCTCAAAAAGTTTGCGGACTCCAATTAACCTAAAATTTGACGGGTCCACTGAAATATCACTTTAGTTCACATAGCTTTTTTTTTAATATTAATTTTTACATGATATATGCTCAATTATGATATAGATCTTATTTTTTTATAGCGGCTATCTATATTTAACAAAATGGGGGATTTATTTAGGGGCAACTTGATTTTTTGTCAGTTTCCTTATTTATTTATAGGGAAGCTACTGGATTTGAAGGGTCTTTTTATTCATTTACCATGTTTCTGTTGTAGATTATATTAATCAATTAATAGTCGTAGATTATAGAATATTTTATGATTCCACAAATATGGAATTTCCCTTAAACAAACTTTCTGAGAGATGGCACAACTATCTGACTTTTATCCCATAAATTAAAAAGGAGAAAACTAAAACCAGGAGGGTGCTTTCTAAGTTTGCAATCAAACTTTTAATTGTTGAACCAGAGGGGATAGCTCTAGTTCTTAAACAGTATAAATATTGGAAGTATATTAGCAGAGCAAAACAACTTGCTATGTTGCCTAGATCCTCCAAAAATGCCGACAGTGTGTCGGATACTACAAATTTTTGGGAAATCTGCTATGTGGGCGACAATATTTTTGGAAGATCCAAGCAACATAAGTCACCAGAAACGAATAGTGTATGATTCAAAACACTCGATCTCAGAAAGATATAAGAATATACAAAAAACCCAGAGAATTCTCACGAGTGGGGTTTGGGGAGGGTAAGATGTACGCAACCTTACCCCTACCCTGAAGAGCAGACAGGCTGTTTCTGATAGAAAGATATAAGAATATGAATATGAAATACCTAGTGCTCTTATTCAGTCATTATCTTGAATAAAACTTTCTACAAACTCAACTACAGCGTTAAGTTATCTAAAAGCTTTCTACACAAAGGAAGAACAGTTCTTACTCATTGAACGAAAATCTTTAATGACAACTTATAAAGTACCATAAATTGACAGACAACATGATTAGAAACCTGCTCTTTATCATGCCTCCAAACTTTGACAACATTTAGTGATACATCGAAAGCGTCGATTTCATTTTTTTTCCTGCAACACAGCTACATCTGCAGCTTTGAAACTGGTTGATGAAGTTGTTTCAAGACGAGACCTTGTATTATACTCCTGAAAGAGATGATTACAGACATGTTAGAGGTAGTTTTGGACATGAAGATGTAGCTGACAAAAGACAGAAAAGAACTGAAAATGTAGTAAAGATAGATTCATTCAAGCATGGAGTTTATAGCAATTCCATTCACTCGTAACATCTCTAATCTCTGCCATGCAATGAAATTGGCTGTTTATGGCATAGTTGTTATTGTAGTCCCTTTTTTCTTCTACCGACTTATTAACGTCACTCCCTGTTATGTCAAATATTCTTCTTTGTACATCAAATTAAATGGTTCTAAATCATTTTTTGTACCCACTTACAAACCCATCCTGTTCACTCTTTATAAATTTTGCAAAATGACATATATTGCCCGCCTAGCCCCAATCGTGCTAGACTCAGCACCCTATCCTACTTCACTACCCTGCACTACGCCGCTGCCACACATATACAGACTTGTGTAAGCCAAAACTCTACCTTCCAAGTAGTTAGCTGCTTAAAATCTTTTGTTATACAAGCCTCTTTTGATCGAGAGCACATTTAGCTACCGAAATGCCAAAATTATAAGCCTTCAATTTCATTTGTCTTGACCTAAAATAAATAAATTTCCCTTTTGCTATTTGAGACTTTCCAATCTTTTTAATCTGAAATTCTAAGCACCAAACTTTGGAAGCTTTTAATATGTGTTATGATCTTTCAAGATTCCAAATGAAGCTTGGTAATGTATTAAAAGGGACTGAATCCTAGTTTTAGCTAATTTTGGTCAAAAGAGGGATGAGTTGAAAGCACAAGTACACTAAATGATTCAGTAGCTCAGCTGCACACCAAGAGGAAGACATGAGCTACCTTCAAACTCAAAGCACAAAGCTATCTACTACTTATCACAGCGATCTTGTTTTCCAAAGCAATCCTCTTAACCGTAGAAACATTTTTCGGTTAGTAGAAGACTCATCTTACATGAACCATGGAAGTAGAAGTCAGGAAAATTGAGTCAAAACAGACCAAGAGAAATAGAGAGACTAGACGAGAAGGAGTTGAGTGAGTCATCTAGCAACTTAAGGCTCTTAAGCTCAAAACTCTAGCAGTTCCTCCCCCACACTGTACTGAGAATGTAGGTTATAAGCTAAAAAAGAAATAGCTAGGATTCAGACTTCATATTTTTCCGGTGTCTGGGGAACAATTTAGTCAAATCCTGAATCTCTCGTAGATACTGCTCTACCCAACATATCAATACCTTGGCTGAAACTAAGAAGACACTTACATGCTGCCATTAGATCCTATCCTTGCCTAATTTAGAATCTACGGCTGCCAAAAATCTAGTGTGCTTCAGCAAAAGTTACAGGGCATAAGGCCACATATCTCTCACCGAAGCCGGCACCCTCGGCAGTGGAACTATGTTTGGCTGGGGACAATTACCTTGCAAAACTTTATATGCTTTTCACGATTTTGCATCCCTCTCATGGCATTTATTTACATTAAAGTTTAATTATGATAGAAAATCCTAAAATTTGTTTAATTCAGGAGGGCAACTGTCAAATCTAAGTGGTTGCCCGTAAGCACTATTACCACTATTCCCTATATCAGGTTTTTTCGCATTCTTCAACAAGTTATTTTCCTTCAGGGTGGCCCAAACATACGCCTGCCTAGTCTAGCATTTCCAACGTTGAGAAGAAACAAAGACATTATAGAAAGAACCAAAAATTAGTTGGAATATTGGGATCCTTTTAATTGGGATATGCAATTAACTAAAGCTGTAGCATCTTAAATATCTTAAACTTAATTTGGAACTTTTCTATTAGAAACTGAAGCCTACGATAAAATTTTCAGTACTATTTTATAGTATGTGCATTGTCAAATGATGATATCATTTGGTGAAGACAGGACTATTAACTGTTTAGCCTTGGGAAAAACCACTTCCTAAGGTGTCTTGCAAGATGTGAAGTTTCAACAAGTAACTTCCTTCAATTGCAACTGCTACTGCGATGCACTTATTCCTTCTGCTCTACAGATTTTATCTCCTAATCGGTCTTCTCTTTCTTCCGGTGTGATCATCTCTCCTACTATATCCACCTATGTGGTCATCATCGCAACTAATATGCTCGCCCAACTTTTATATTTTAATGTATATCCAATACAGGTCCTTTCTCAGCCATGCCATGCCGTTAAAGTTACTATGGAAAAAAGTTTTCAGAAATGCTATCTCTTGTACATAAAGGAGAAGTGCAGCTAATGCAAATACTTGCACATTAAATCTAACAGAAAAGAATAGTACCTTTGTCGCAAATCTTTTCAGACAAAGGCCGAAAGGTCCTGCGGTGGATCAATCCAAATGCTCTCAAAAGGATCTTGTTCTCCCCAATCATAACACTGCTTTCGCGGGTAGTATCTGTCATGATCGAGGGAATACGATATGCAACGCCTTCCATAAAAACGAACTTTAGAGAAATAAATACTATTTCTCATCACCCCAAGAACGTCTATCCTTGCTTGGGATGACAGAAAACTTGCAAAAAGTGTCAAACCACCTAAAGTTTGCATCTCCACCCAAATTTTATTGATTTGGTCTAACTTATATATCACCGGATTTGCAGTAGAGCAAGTGTATATCACATAGATATCTCCATTGTGCTCTGCCATAAATTTTCCTTTCCACCAATTTTTCACGAAAAAATTTTCGGGGCATCTCGGAGGTGGAACCACACGAACAAGCCAAGTACGTTCTTCAGGATTATAGACTCCCAACCAACCAGTAAGACTCAGACAATAAAAGAGACCATTGCAGAAAACTAACTTATTCCAAATGCTGCTAACAAATGGCAAACGATTTTGGTAATTGGCAGTTGTCCATTCCGTTGCCCCCGGTTGACATGTGCTAATTGCGACCAAAGTGGGGCTGATATGCTTAACTGTGAAAACGATACAGTTCGGAGATGTAGGAGCTGCAGAAAAAGCAACTATCTGGTATGTTAATTCTAGTCTTGGTAAATTGATCACGTTCTTCGTATAAGGATTGAAGAACAACACACGTAAAGTTCTCGGTTTGTATAGCAGCAACCAGCCATCTTTCGCGTAACAAAGCCTAGAGCCACGTAACTCTGGTAACTCAACTGAATAAGTTTGCCTCACTGAAGGGTCGTAGAATTCAACCAAGTCACCGAATTTTGGGAAAAACATAAGCCAAGGTGGTTTATTCGCAACTCGTACAGAGACGGAAACAGCAAGCCATTGCTTGCAAACAGCAGAGGCACGGATGTTTTCTCTCAAGTTTAACCGGGAGAGAATCAGTTCAAGAATTTCCATTGGTACACAAAACAATGAGTTTTGCTCATCAGATCCTTCACACTGCTCAGTCGAAGCACCACCATTATTTGGAGCTGTTGCAGCTAACCTAGAAAAATGAAAACATATGCTTAGTTTCAAAAATGGATAGTGAAATAAAAACTAAATACTGATACCAACCCTTAAAGTTAACGTTATGCACAAAATATGAAGTACACATTATATTCATAACCAAATTCAGATAGTTACAGTTGACTTTCAGCATTAAAATTCAAAGACGTTATGCTTTTAGAGTAACTTCTCACATGCAACGGACAAAATAAAAGACGACATATCCTAAATCAGATAGGTGACTTTAGCATTAAAATCCAAAACATTCTGCTTTTCCTGTAACTTCTTGCATGAAAAGGACAACATCAAAGACGACACATCCTTAATCAGATAGTTACAGGCAACTTTCAGCATTAAAATCCAAAACATTCTGCTTTTAGAATAACTTCTCACACGCAAAGGAAAACATCAAAGACGACATATCATAAATTAGTAACAGGTGGCTTTCAGCATTAAAATTCAAAACATTCTTCTTAAACTTCTAACACGCAAAGGACAAAATCAAAGATAACATATCCTAAATTAGTCAAGGTGATTTTCAGCATTAAAATCCAAAATATTCTGCTTTTAGAGTAACTTGTCACACGCAAAGGAAAGTCCTAAATTAGTTCCAAGTGGCTTTCAGCACTAAAACCCAAAACATTCTGCTTTTAGAGTAACTTCTCACACGCAAAGGACAACATCAAAGACG